AGAACACCCACAGAGTGGGAGAAAATATTTGCCAATATACATCAGACAAAGGACTGATAACCAGAATATACAGGGAACTTAAAAAACTAAATTCTCCCAAAACTAATGAACCAATAAAGAAATGGGCAGTGAACTAAACAGAACTTTCTCAAAAGAAGAAATTCAAATGGCCAAAAAACACATGAAAAAATGCTCACCATCTCTAGCAATAAAGGAAATGCAAATTAAAACCACACTAAGATTCCACCTCACCCCTGTTAGAATAGCCATCATCAGCAACACCACCAACAACAGGTGTTGGCGAGGATGCGGGGAAAAAGGAACCCTTTACACTGTTGGTGGGAATGTAGACTAGTACAACCACTCTGGAAAAAAATTTGGAGGCTACTTAAAAAGCTGGACATCGATCTACATTTGATCCAGCAATACCACTCTTGGGGATATACCCAAAAGACTGTTACTCCAGAGGCACCTGCACATCCATGTTTATTGCGGCACTATTCACAATAGCCAAGTTATGGAAACAGCCAAGATGCCCCAGCACTGACGAATGGATTAAGAAAATGTGGTATCTATACACAATGGAATTTTATGCAGCCATGAAGAAGAACGAAATGTTATCATTCGCTGGTAAATGGATGGAATTGGAGAACATCATTCTGAGTGAGGTTAGCCTGGCTCAAAAGACCAAAAATCGTATGTTCTCCCTCATATGTGGACATTAGATCAAGGGCAAACACAACAAGGGGATTGGACTATGAGCACATGATAAAAGCGAGAGCACACAAGGGAGGGGTGAGGATAGGTAAGACACCTAAAAAACTAGCTAGCATTTGTTGCCCTTAACGCAGAGAAACTAAAGCAGATACCTTAAAGCAACTGAGGCCAATAGGAAAAGGGGACAGGAACTAGAGAAAAGGTTAGATCAAAAAGAATTAACCTAGAAGGTAACACCCACGCACAGGAAATCAATGTGAGTCAATGCCCTGTATAGCTATCCTTATCTCAACCAGCAAAACCCTTGTTCCTTCCTATTATTGCTTATACTCTCTCTACAACAAAATTAGAGATAAGGGCAAAATAGTTTCTGCTGGGTATTGAGGGGGGAGGGGAGGGGGTGGAGTGGGTGGTAAGGGAGGGGTGGGGGCAGGGGGAGAAATGAACCAAGCCTTGTATGCACATATGAATAATAAAAGAAAAATGAAAAAAAAAAAAAAAAAAAAAAAAAAGCTGCTTTTGCTGAAAAGCACTAACTCCTTTACTTGGGCCCAGGAATTAACAGAAAGCAAGATAAAAGCTCAGCTTCCTGGCCTCTGATTTCCGTCTGTCTCCTTCACTCTGGAGCCTCTTCTCCGTAATACCCTTGGGTTCCAGGAAGGACAGCACTAATTGATAACATTTTTACAAGGGAACAACCAAAGTCACTGCAGGACAGACCACCTGCCTGTGACTCTTTTTTTCTTTTCCGGTACTGAGAACTTGAACTCAGGGCCTACACCTTGAACCACTCCACTGCCCTTTTTTGGTGAAGGGTTTTTTCCATATAGGGTCTTGCAAACTATTTGCCCAGGCTGGCTTTGCACCACAATCCTCCAGATCTCTGCCTCCTGAGTAGCTAGGATTACAGGCGTGCACCACCAGTGCCTGGCAGCAGTGACTCTTACTGTAACAGCACTGCTGGACCAATCCTGAGACAGTGAGCAAAGGGACCACTTGTGACCATCACCACTGACCACTGGAACACAACTGGGATCTGGGTTGTTAAATAATTGTGCATATCTCTCTCCTCCTGCCCCCCTGTTCTTCCTCTGTGTAAACCTAGAGCCCACATCTGTAGGAGGAGGATGGAGTGAAATGCATACATTGCATCTTCCATGTGTGCTTGCCACATTAATTAAATCTCCCTTTTCTGTCCTTCACCATTACTTTTCTCTTCATTGGGCATATTCAGGTGAGTGCTGGACCTGACACGTGGTTTCACAGGTACAGGTATTCGGGATCTCTGAGCCCTGCTTTTGTTTTTCTTTCCATACTTTTGTCTCTTTTGCTTGTCTTGCTTTAGCAAAAATTTCTCATTCAACAATAAATAACTGGGGAGAAGTAGCATCTCTTTTTGTTGCAATAAGATGTTTAATATGATAATTTAATGTTTCTGGTGAAATATAATTGATTTTGCATTGACACATGTTACATTCCTAAGGAATTATCCTTCTTTTCCTTTTTTTGAAAATAAGTTTTTAGCTGGGCACTGGTGGCTCAGAGGGATGGCAGTTCAAGGAAATACTTCTTGAGACCCCACCTCCAAAACAACCACAGCAACATGGACTGGAGGTGTGGCTCAAGTGGTAGTGTACTTGCTTTGCAAGGCCCAAAGTCCTGAGTTCAAACTCTAGTACCCTCCCCAAAAAAAAGTTTTTTAAATTAGGAATGAATTAGAAGTTTTACCTTTTTTGGATGTATATGCAAATGATTCCTTTAATTTTTTTTATTCTACTGCTAAAGTGGAGTGTTTTCTGTATGTGGACTCATGTTTGCTGAGTCTGGCCTCACAGGATGGGGCTCAGAGGAGGCCCTCATACATATACGTGAAGTGAACGAGTGAATGAATGAATGAGTTGAACACACCTGTTCTAATCAAAGCAGTTGCACACTATGAGTTTACAATTTCATAGAACAGCATCTTCAGGGATGGAAGGGGGAGTAGGAAACAGGTTTTTTTCTAAGATTTTCCAAAATTCCACCCCTCAGTCAGCCAAGTCTCCATGCCTGGCTATCACTTGAACGATAAGTACACGGGGGAATTTACAACATCTCTCGATGTTTCTAATTCTAACTTGAAGTAAATACAGACTGGAACAACTAGAAGCTGAAAGCAGCTTTTTACACTGGCATGATGTACCAGAGAAATAGGCAAGATGGGGCAGCTGCTGTCACCACAGTGATGGGTGACAAGATCCTGGGGAAGTCCAGGTGGTAATGCACTGTTGGGAAAAGCCACTAATATGCAGAGTGTCTTGGGAATCTTCTGGACAAGCAGACAGACTTAAAAGTCTACTTCCTCCTCAACAAGGACACAGTGAAGATCAGAATCTCGAAGTAGAGTTAAAAGCTTGTTATCAGATATCATGAAATGACGTTTTTTAAAAAAGAAAGTGCCTTGTATATGTTTTCTCTTAGTAATAAATAGTTTATGACAGCAGCATCAAATAGAACAAAATCTGTTGGCAATAATGGCGCTGATAGGTTTCAGTTCTTACTGCACCCTTATGCTTCTGTTTTCCAGGGTCACTGTCCTGCCTCAAGTCTAGCTTGAATCCTTCTTCTGCCCCAACCTCCAATCAGCATGAACCATAAGATCCTAACCAACCAGATCATGCTGAGTCCCACTGAGGGGTATTTAAGCCTCTGTCCTTCCTGCTTCTCTCTCTTGGCTCTCTCCCTCTCCCACCTGGCAATAAAGGATCTCTTGGCCAGATCACTCCTCTCCACGTGGTCACTTTTGGGGCCTACATTTCCAACAAAATCTACCATGGAAACCTGTAAAAATGATGGTTCTGTGTCCAATTGGCTAAAGAACAGTGTTAGTTGAAAGTCAATTCATTGACATTGAACCTGACTGGCCAAAAATGACTGCTCAATTTGTAAAAGAAATTGTCTAATTTACCAGATATACTGCTTGTGTTTTTAAGAGCCTTTAAAAGGAAAGCTGAATTTGATTACTGACGATGGATGCTTTTCTGCATATTAACTAAGCTAAGATAGTTAAAGCAGCAGAGAAATTGACAAGGGACTCTTCAAAGGGCTGCAAGTACCAAAACACGAACCAGCACAAGCTGGAAAACCTTGCCCATGTGTAATGCTGTTTTTCCAACCAAAATGTTGACCGTTCATTTGGAACTGGTTTATTTTGGCTCCTTGTGACTTCTTTCAGATGCTTTGGAATGCTATTTCGCCCCCACGCTTTAAAGCATTCAAAATATTCTTTGCTAATTCCTCAGATAGCATATCACCTTATTTTTGCACTTCTAACAAAATATAATTAATCTTGAGGTTCATTTTTAAGGTTAGTAAAATTAAAGATGTAAAAATCAAAAGCAGCTTAAAAGAAAATTCAGAATTTTTACCAATTAGTCAGTCCATTCAATGAATTCAATATTGAAAAATTGAAGTTTTGGTCAATCAGCTCACTTTTAAAAACTGCCATCACTAGAAACCTTGAGCCATTACCAACCCTGCAAAAAACAGACTTTAATTTGTTTCCTCCTGGTGCCCTTCTGTGCTTGCTGGATGTACCAGGTGCAGCAGGAAAAAAGGGTGGCAGCACAAATTTAAAGGGCCAGATCCAGGCTGGAGGTGTGCTCAAGCAGTAGAGTGCCTGCTTTGCAAGCAGGAAAGCCCTGAGTTCAAACCCTAGTCCAACCAAAATAATAAATAAATAGCCAGACTGATCCTGAGCACATGTAAAAGGACTGGCAGTGTCCTCTTGCCTCTCCATCTTCCAGAGCCTCAAATTAACTTTAATTAACAAACAGGAAGTGTGGCTCAAGCACTAGAGCTCCTGCTTTGCAAGGGTAAAGCCTTGAGTTTACACCTGAGTTCCCTAACAAAACAAAACAAGTGGCAGGGCTGGGGGTGTAGCTCAGTGGTTGAGTGCCTAGCATGCATGAGGCTCTGGGTTCAATCCCCAATACTGCAAAAAAAAAAAAAAAAAAGGCTGGGGTGGGGTGTTATACCTCAGTGGTGGAGTGCTTACCTAGCATCCCCAAGGCCAGAAGTCACACACACACCCCCCCCGAAAATCAGACATACACAAGTTGCAGTTCAGATTCTAGGGAAACAAAAGCTCCAAACAGTACAAAGCTTTCTAAGTTACATCCACTGCCCAATTACTGTAGGTGCAGCAGAGACATTTGGACAGCCAGGCGAGCATAGGGTCACTCTAATGAGCATCTTTGCTTGCTGTGGTTTCCTCCCATCACATCCCAAGGGGCCTCCATTACCCATGGAGCTCCTGCAGAGCAGTGAGGTCAGCTTCTTCAGGTGAGGAAGGCTGCTGGAGCCTGTCTTCACAAAGTCACAATCTATGGTGAACTGAGTGCTCAGATAATCTTGAATGGCCTTCAGATGCTCTTCTGGAAGCCTGAAAGATAAAAGGAGAAATAAAAGCCTGCTTCACCTGTTAATTTTGGCCACCAACAGCCACAACAATGACAAATCAAGGAGCCCCGGTCTCCACTGAGGCATGGTCCTTCAGGTGAAAGTTAGCCCACCTGTGTGAAGGTGCCCTTGGTCATACTGCAGCGGCAGGGGAACAGCTCAGAGCAAGGAGAAGGCCAGCAAAAGTGACTGCCTCTCTTAGGAGGCACCTTTAGGTGCTGCTAGAAGGAAATGTTTTAGGCTGGAGGCTGGGATATGGTTGTCCTTTAAAAAGGCTAGGAAGTACCATGGGATCGTTTCCCTTACTCATTGACTCATCCAGCTAGAATCTGAGAGCTGGACAGACGATTTAGTCTGGAGATAACAGGTGGCTTTGACCCTCATGATAACTCTAAATTTACAGCCAAAGACTAACCTGGTGCATCCCAGAGGGTTCTGAGTCACCACCCCAGGCTCTATGGAGAAGTCTGAGTGATTAGTGGCAGGGCTGATGTCCAGATGCCTGGTTTTGCCCTCACTAATCTGACTCAGTCCCTTCAATTTATCAAGGGAATGGGGTGAGGGGCAGGATTTGTTTCCCTGTATACACTGACCCAGCAAGTCCAGCTCAGATTCTGCCATTGGCTGTCATCCAAAGTCTGCTCAGACCTCTCCATCCTATCTCCTGGAACTTTTTGGTCTGGGTAACTTTTTTTTTTTTGGTGGGACTGGAATTTGAGCTAGGGCTTCAGGCCTACAAAGCAGGCACTTGCAAAGAAAGTACTCTACTACTTGAGCCACACCTCTAGTCCATTTAGTTCTGGTTATTTTGAGATCTAAGTCTCACAGGTACCTAGGATTACAGGTGTGAACCATGTGATCTGGGTAACTTTTGAATCTTTCTTTGTTCCATAATTATCACAAATATTTCTTAAGTGTTGGGTATGGAGACCTAAAGAACAGATGAGTGAGTATCCCATCCCCCATGGAGAGTACTATGATTCCTGCATCCTGAGAAGGAGTTGTAATCTACAACTTCCTGAAGAGGAAATACAGGGTCTCATAGATTTGCCACAGGCTAATGAGCAAAATGCTCTCAACATTGCTTCCCTACTCCCAATAAGGAGCAAACACACAAGTTCATCTAAAAAAGTCCGCAAATCCACGGCCAATGAAAAGAGCCTACCTAATCCTTATCCAACCCAGAGTTTAAAGCATCCATAAAAACCCCAACCTTCACCTTCAACCGGTGCAGCAAGCCACCAGTTTCCTGGCTATGCTGCACTGCTCTAGCTGTAGCCTTTCCTTTCTTTCTAATAAATCCTACTTTGTGTACCGGCTTTGGCTCACAAATCAATCAGCTGCCTCATGAACCAATTCCCTGGCCTGTGAAGGCAAGGATCCTCAACACCAGCCCACAACATTTAACACTGCCATGTGACATTTTGGCAACCACGAAGGGACATCTCTCCTCGACCAAGGTCGGTATGACTTGAATGCCAAACCAGCAGGAGCTTGCCTAAGGTGTGGCTGTGAGTCTCCAGTGCCCTGCTGGATGCTCCTGCTGGGGAAGACCCCATGCTGCAGACTAACCAAAAGCAGACTTCCTTGAGCTACTCCCCGTCTGTCTCTGATCCTGTTTTCCTGAGGGACTTTCCTGTCAGGGTATCAAACCAACAGCTCCTACCAACTTTGGCCTCACAGTGATTCCAGCTCTGTGGGTGCTTTTGCTCCCTCTCTGTGGGCCAAGCCTGAGCCCAGGTTTATTCAGGTATGCCTTATGCTATGTTGGAGGAGACCTGATTGATTTTGGTACCTGACAATTTTTCATCTTTTCCCACCTGTCGAATACCCCTTCTGCTGGAGGCAGTGACCCGAGAGTGGAGATTTTGTGTGGCTGACAGTGTTTCGGTAACACTTAGTGGGAACAACCTAAAAGCACCCACTTAATCGTTAATCCCTCAGGCATGGGTCCTGCCTCCAGTCTGCTTCCCTCCCTTACCTAAGATGTCAGATCACCCCTTCTGTCCCTGCTAGAAGCAGCAGACATACTTTTACTCACACACTCTCTCCCTGGTCCCACCGCCTTGTCCATCATCTCTGTCTGCCTTCCCTTCCCTGTGCTTACCGGGACCCTGGCCTCCCACAGAAAACTCGTACCATGGTACCTTATGATGTTCTTAGTTACTCCCACACCTAGTTTGTCATGCCCCTCGGTCCACAGCACCTTTAAATCAGCTGCTGGGTACCAGCAGAGGCAAAGGAGCCTGCAGAAAACTGCGGCCACACGAGACACACACAAGCCTAACTCTGCCCCCACAAGGGAGGAGGGAAAACAAACAGGTGCACGTGTGCACAGGGATGCTGGCCCATCCTGCCATAGCTAAGACAATCCATAGAAAAGGTCCAGCACGCATCCAAAGCCACCAGCCATATACAGCGGCAACTGTGACCTGCTGCCACTTCCCCAAAAAGGGATGAGAGGAAAAATAAGTGTGCGCAGGTGCATGTACACAGGGGGAGGGGCGACAGGCCGCAGGGGCAGGCCTGTGCAGACAGGATCTCTAGTCCCAGGCATGGGGATAGGCGGCAGCACTTTGTACAGGCCTCGCTTTCAGCCCTACCTCAGCCTCAAACCTGACTGACCCAGTCATTGGAGCCAATTCTTATCTCAAGGTTATGGTCCCAAAAAGCAGCAATGTAACCTTCTGGGACCAGCAAAACACGGGCATCGTTATGGTCTCTAAAGTTCTCATTTAAAATTTCCTATACTTTTGGCCTCAGCATAAAAAATTTTTCCTCCAAATATTAACACTGGTCATCCCCTTGTGGCATTGTGATTGCCGTGGGACCCCCTCTGAGTGCCCTTCTCTAACCTTACAGGCACCTCTCCAGGTGATGCATCCCTTTGTTAAAGAGGCTGCCTGCTTTTGGCTATAAGGCAGGATCCTAGAGTTTTTCTCTCACTGTGTCGGTAAGGTGGCCTACTCTGATCTGCAATTCCTTTGGTCCTGGTCATGGATGGCAGAAGGAAGTCATGAGACAAGGACACCTACTCTTGTTAGTTAGGTCTGATCCCAAGTCGGGATGCCAACAAAAGGGGAGTCTGACAAGTTCTAGATGGGACCTGCCCTTTCCAGTCTTCTGGCCTCGGTACCCAAGCATTCTCTCCTGGCCTGTCTATTGAAATGTTGGAAGGACTTTTAGTCTATTATCTCAAGGAAAAAACCCTCATCTTTCTTTGTACTGAGGCCTTACCTCAATACCCCTGGGTGACCAAGAGAAGTGGCCTTTAGAGGGCTCCTTGAGTTATAATACCATACTCCAATTAGACCTTTTCTGTAAAAGGGAGGAAAATGGACTGAGGTCCTCTATATACAGCTGTTCTTTTATCTCCAAGACCACCCAGAATGGCTCCATAATTGCTATCTAGATACTCAAACACTGGCTGTTCTTTGTAAGCCACAGGATAAACATGGGGAAGGAGGACCAGAAAAGCCCCTTACCAATGACAAGTCCCCCGTCCCTACTGCTCCACCCTCTGCCCTACCTTCTAAGCCACCCCAATACTCAGAACCTCTTAATGGATGTTTCTCCCTTCAACAGGCAGTGGTAGGAAGAGGGCAAGTCTATGTCCCCTTCCAGTTATCAGATCTAAGGGAGATTAAAAAAGATGTGGGTAGCTATGCTGATGCCCCAGACCAATACATCCAAGCCTTTATCTTTATGATCCAAACCTTTGAATTGGCACGAAAGGATATTATGCTTCTACTGGACCAGACTCTTTTCTCATTAGAAGAGCAACAGGTCCTGGCCCAGGCCACTCAGGTTGGAGACAATTTCCATCTACAATGAGCCCCAATACCCATGGCACCTGGAAATGAGGAAATGAATGTGCCTATACCCACAGGGGCACAGGCAGTTCACTTGGCAGATCCACATTGGTATCAAAATGGTTTTGAGGATGAATGGCGTCAACACCACTTCATCCATCTTATAGTGGAAGGGCTAAAAAGGGCCAAATGAAAAAATGCTCACTATCTCTAGCCATAAAGGAAATGCAAATTAAAACCACACTAAGATTCCATCTCACCCCTGTTAGAGTAGCCATCATTAGCAACACCACCACCAACAGGTGTTGGCTAGGATGTGTGGAAAAAGGAACCCTCTTACACTGCTGGTGGGAATGCAAACTAGTACAAGCACTCTGAAAAAAAAATCTTAAGGCTTCTTAAAAATCTAAACATTGATCTACCATATGATAAAGCAATACCACTCTTGGGGATATACCCAAAAGACTATGACACAGGTTACTCCAGAGGTACCTGCACACCCATGTTTATTGTGGCACTATTCACAATAGCCAAGTTATGGAAACAGCCAAGATGCCCCACTACTGATGAACGGATTAAGAAAATGTAGTATCTATACACAATGGAATTTTATGCAGCCATGAAGAAGAATGAAATGTTATCATTCTCTGGTAAATGGATGGGATTGGAGAACATCATTCTGAGTGAGGTTAGCCTGGCCCAAAAGACCAAAAATCACATGTTCTCCCTCATATGCGGACATTAGATCAAGGGCAAACACAACAAGGGGACTGGACTCTGATCACATGATAAAGTGAGAGCACACAAGGGAGGTATGAGGATAGGTAAGACAGCCAAAAAACTAGATAGCATTTGTTGCCCTCAATGCAGAGAAACTAAAGCAGATACTTTAAATTGACAGAGGCCAATAGGAGAAGGGTTCTAGGAACTAGAGAAAAGGTTAGTTTGAGAAGAATTAATTTAAAAGGTAACACACATGCACAGGAAATCAATGCGAGTCAACTCCCTGTATAGCTATCCTTATCTCAACTAACAAAAACACTTGTTCCTTCCTATTATTGCTTATACTCTCTCTTCAACAAAATTAGAGATAAGGGCAAAATAGTTTCTGCCTGGTAGCAAGGGGGGTGGGGGGGAGAAGGGGGGTGGGGGAAAAGGAGGGGGTGGGGAG